GAGAGAGAGAGAGAGAGAGAGAGAGAGAGAGAGAGAGTGCGTGAGAGAAAGAGAGAGGGGAGAGAGAATGAGAGAGAGAGAGAGAGAGAGAGCTGTGCGTGTGTGTGTGAAAAAGAGAGAGAGCGCGAGAGAAGACAGATGAAAGGATAGACGGGAGCAGTGCATATATTGTATATTTACGGCAATCAGCAGAGCGTCCCGTCGCGCGATTACCGTGTGAATCACTGAATGGATGTCCGGATGCGTAGCCTGGAGGCTAGGCAACCGGTTCCGGACGCGTAGCCATTGCGTTTTATATAATAATTACATTCCATATTAATAATTTTCAAATGCTATTATTGCATATTTCAAGATTTTTGATACCGACATTGTTGAAATTACTAATACTAGTAATTTTAATTTTAATAGTAGTAATACTAATACTATCAAAAAAATGGGATACCAGATGGCAGATCTTTGCCTTTGGGGGGGGATGCCAAATTTCAATACCTGGTATCCCGAATGGTTACCATAATAAAAATCTAGTAGTAGGTACTAGTCTATGGTACCCCTACTCTTGTTGGGTTACATTAGTCATTATTGTATCTATCAAATAACCTGCACTGCCGATTCCTCCACGTGGAAAACTTAATTTCTCCAAAACACAACTTCATAAAACCGCGAACTACCTAGACTGGCACCCCGTTCGTATTGAACTATGATAGCAGCATGTAATATTCTAACCAAGATAGAAAATAGGTACCCATCTACAAATTTGGTGGCGCATTTGGTCACACTAAATTGTGGAGTGGGGATGTGCAAAACATGGTGCTTTTCTCGTATCAGTCATAAAGAAACAGCGCTTCTTCTAAAAAAATACGGTATATATTAGCTCTAAAATGTAGATAAAACGTTATTTCTAAAGCAAGTAATCGAATCACTACAGTTGTCTGTTTTCCACATAAAAACACCTGCAGTCATGCACATCGTTAATCTGATTTCCAATTGTCATAATACCCTGAAAACAATATTGTTCTAGTAGGCCTAGGTCTCAGGGGAGAGATAGTGAACATAGAAATAAGTTGTGGATATAGAAATCAGTTAACCCTAACCCTAACCCTATCCCTAATTCTAAAATAAAACAAAATTAGCCAAAAATAATAAAAATAATAAAATAAATAAGAGTCAAAATTAGCCAATCAGAGCCGTCCCCTAGCGGATCACTATCTCTCCCATAGAAATCGCAGCCCAATAACCGCCCAATAACCGCCAATAACCGCCAATAACAGCCCAATGATCTCTCCTCTGTGCCCCGTAGCCAGGGGGGTTCGGTTCGAACGAACCCCCCCCCCGAGCCCCCAGGCGCAAAATGTTGGCAAGAGATTTACTGAGGTGCTCCATTTTTTAGGTGTGGGATAACTTGGCAGGAGAACTCCGATCGTGGCGGGAGGGTGAACACGTGAACACCCCCCTCCCACACGCCCTCCCTGCTCGGTCGCTTGGCTGCGCGGCTCGGCCTGGGTCGGCTTCGCGCGCGAGGCAGGGGCGTTGTCAGGTGGCAGGGAGTCCGGCACCCCCCCCTTGCTCGCGCAGGAGAGAACGCGATCTGAGGGGGTGTGAATTTTAAAAATTTCTGGGGTGGGGAAGGCGCCCCCCAGATCCCTTCGGCGTGCTGCGCAAACTATGGGTTACGGTTAGACCGCCCTGGTACAAATCTGTACCGCCCCTGCCGAGCAAATGTTGCGCCAACATTGAAAAGCGACCCCCCCTCCCCAAAGAAGCTGGCTCGGCCTGGTCTGTGCAAACATGCATATTGTTCTCTGCGGGGGGGGGGTAAAAAACTGTTCACAGTTCACAGTGAAAGAATAAACTGCTTTTCACATTTCAGCAGTGAAATAATGCAGTTTGACAGCTAAAATTTCAGCTCATAAAAAGATAAGGTCATAGAATTTATACAAGTTGTTCTATTAGTAATATCACCTTCTAAATCTCAAAAATATGCTTGCGCAGTAAGTCATTGCTTGATGGCTGTGTGTGTGGTGCGTGTGTGCGTGCGTGCGTGCGTGCGTGCGTATATGTATTGTTTTCCGATATAGGTTCCTCTGCAGGCTAGGGGGGTCCAATGGGCATGCCCCCCGCGGACATTTTTTAAAAATTTAGGCTATATTTGGTCGCATTGTGCGTGAATTTTGGAGGCCTGTGACGCGTTTCTGTGAAACCGGTGGCAAACGCGGCCTAAATCCGCACCTGATGGCCCTATCGATGTCACGGAGGAAAGAGACCTTTTTATTCACAGGTTCATCAGACTACATAAAAGCTAAATCGACCGCTTCTCCGCCAGGTGGTCCATTTCACAGTTACAGACAAATAGAATCTGCAATTCACCAGTTCACAGAGTATCAAAAACGGCGATCACGTTCTCCACGAAATACCGCTACCTCCACCTCTTCTCAGATAACGAATATAAGTAAGACTTATCATAGGAAATAATTTTCCATGTGAAAATCTCAACTCCAAATATCCGTCTTGTAATCCCCTGAGCTCGCAACGTACGCTTGTGATTTCAAAGACGCAATGAACTATATACCGATATACGGCGCGTCGCGTGCGTGCGTGGCGGTGTCGTTGTGTGTGTGTGTGTGTGTGTGTGTGTGATGTGTGTGTGTGTGTGTGTGGTGTTGTGTGTGTGTGTTGCGTGCGTGCGTGGTGCGTGCGTGCGCGTGTGGGCGTGCGTGCTGCGTGTGTGTGGTGTGTGTGTGTGGTGTGTGTGGTGTGTGTATGGTGTGGTGTGTGCGTGCGTGCGTGCGGCGTGCGTGGCGCGTGCGTGGTGCGTGTGTGTGTGTGTGTGTTGTGTGTGTGCGCGCGCACCGCTGTGGTGCTGTGTGTGTGAGTGTGTGTGAGTGTGTGCGTGTGTGTGTTGTGTGTGTCGTGGTGTGTGTGTGTGTGTGTGTGGTGTGTGTTGTGGCGGTGGTGGTGTGTGTGAGTGTGTGTGTGTGTGTGTGTGTGTGTGTGTGATGTGTGTGTGTGTGTGTGTGTGTGAGTGTGTGTGTGTGTGTGTGTGTGTTGTTGTGTGTTGTGTGCGTGCGTGGCGTAGTGGGTGGTGTGTGTGTGGCTGTCGCGTGCGTGGCTATAGTGCCGTGCGGTGCGTGTGTGCGTGGCGTGCACTTTACCTTGTACAGAAAATACTGACATTTTTGTATTATATTTTTTATTTTTGTTGTATAGCGTCGTTTTGTACTGCATTACCCAGAAATTTTATTCAGATATTTGAAGTCAATATAACAGATCCTTTCAATACTATTGGTATTGCATATATTCGATTTTTTCTCTATGACTAAGACCACCTGTCGATCTTCATGCAGTGCATGTATTTGTATTTGAATTACATCAAGAGTAGATAATAACACTTGATCACATGCAATAACGATTTAATGATAATATTAATAATAATAATATTATATTATTATTAATAATAATACTTCTCATGCAGCGTTATAGCCATCAAGATCGAGTGACGCGTTATATGTCAACGGAGACACTCCCACTTTTAATAGTAATTAACTTTTCAGGAGATAGATCATTAAAATATATCATTATTTAATTATCTCTTCCTATTTATTTATTTATTTCCTCTCGCGCACTGCTAGTCGAACTCATTATTCTTCAGTGTGGCACATAGTGCACTGATCTCTACTATACTAAGATATTATAGAGATATTATAGAGATTAAGAGTTAGTATAGTAGAGATCAGTGACATAACGTGGCATCTCTGCTGTGAGATTGGTTAAAATATGACTCTTTGGCGCCATCTAGTGTAAAAAATAATCTCCCTCTGCACGTCTTTAATTTCTTACAGTTCATTCATAATTCCTCTTATAAATCTCTGGTAATTTTGTTGTAATTCCCTCCTGATCAATCACCCCAAACTTTCTCTTTCTTCTTCTTCTTCTTCTTCTTCTTCTTCTTCTTCTTCTTCTTCTTCTTCTTCTTCTTCTTCTTCTTCTTCTTCTTCTTCTTCTTCTCCAATTCTCCTCCTCCCCCTCCTCCTCCTCCTTCTTCTTCTTCTTCTTCTTCTTCTTCTTCTTTTTTCTTAATTCTTCCTCCTCCTTTTTTTCATCGTCATGGTCTTAAACTTGAATGGTATTTTTCTTGTTGTTGTTGTCGTCGTTGTTGTTGTTGTTGTTGTTGTTGTCGTTGTTGTTGTTGTTGTTGTCGTCGTCGTCGTCGTCGTCGTCGTCGTCGCCGTCGTCGTTGTTGTTGTTGTTCGATCTTCTTCTTCTTCTTCTTTGTTTTTTTGCGGCTTCTTCTTCTTCTTCTTCTTCTTCTTCTTCTTTGTCTTTTTCTTTTTTTGTCTTCTTCTTATTAATATTATTATGATTATTATTATTACAATTATATTATTCTTAATTAAGCTTCTTATTATCAATCTCAATTCTTCTTATTATTATTTATTTCTCCGCTTTTTTGAGAGGAATATCTGCTAATGTGGATGTGCGCTAATTTTGCATGTATGTGGTATTTTTGGAGGTATTATACGTAAATAGCGCACTGCGTAATAATTAATGATCGGGTAACGTGCCCGGTGACCGATTGCACCCGTTCATTCCACATTCCACTAGCGGCCTGATTTAGACTCCTGTTAAAAATGGCAGCGCCCATCAGTTTGCATCATTTCGGAGTGTGTGCACGAAATGGGGAATTGTTGCTACGTCAGTTTACGGAGAAACTCACATTCCGGTTATTTGCGAAGAGGGAGACTCCGGTGGCAAGGCAATGGGCCGTTAAAAACGGCAATGCTGTGTTTGTGATAACGGAAAACAGACATTTACCCTGCTCTCCATGCCTTCCCAATGCGAATGGCACCAAAGCGCGTACCTCCACTATCGAAGGAATATGCGGCGACTATAGTAATTTAATGAATATACCTGAACGTGCCAACAACGTAAACTCATATTTCGATAACAAGATACATAGTGGCGTCCCCCATTTGTCGGCTAGAATTGAACCTAATTCTTCTATTGGCTATTCCGATGAATGTGCCGGTTCTGACACGACAAACCCGCATCAGCAACAACAGTGGAATAACTCCGTTTTTAACGTCTGCTTTAATGTGCAAAGTGTCAAGGAAATTGTTAACCGTGTTTCTAAGTTTTCGGGCAAACATTCCTTGCTTCAACTGCCAACTAGTCTTTCAGACAGCGATGGCGTAGTGGAGTATGCAGTAGTATATACAGGTATTGGCAACATTATTCACACACTCATTGATACCTCTAAGTATTATGGAGTGTTTCTCCCGTGCTTCCTCAACATAGAATCAAACGATTTGACCCATGGAAGCTTGCCAGGTCAAAGCTTGTACTTTGATCATGTGACGTACGCGTGTCATGCTGGATCGTCGCATAGTATAATGACTTGGTATGAGTCCTGCTTTGGCTTGAAACGATTCTTCATAAACAGGTAAATGGCATTTAATTGATATAGGCACAATTAGTATACATCATTACATGTTATAACTTTACCAGATGACTACATTAATTTACATTTATTATGCACATGAAAACTTTATAAGATATTGCGACTGACATACATTTCTCTGTTTTAATGAAACCCACAGTGATGAAGACAAGGATGAGGGTTTTACAATTAAGGAAGAAGATTTTGGCCTGAGGCTTAAAGCAATGGAGTATTGGAAGTGTGCGGAGACTGGACTCACAAATCAAAACGATAGCCATGAATCTCAAGCAAATGAAATTAAGATTGTCTTTGCTGAACCCCTACCGGGAAATGGTATGATATTCTTCGTATTTATTAATATGTGGCGTAATTATCAACTTGTGCTTGTCAGAGTCATATATTGCAAATGATGCTTTAGCAAACGAGTCTATATTCTATAGTCATTACATTGATATGGGCAGTTTCATATAACAGCAATTGCTCATCCATGGGAAGTTTCAATCCACACACTCATAATATTTTTTTTTACTAAAATCTAAGTGATATAATGACATGATCAGGAGTGTAATAATATAGTGGAGTATGACTCGCTCGAAACAAGAAATTCAACATTTCCATGCCCTAGTTTACGTATGATTTATTATGACTCAATAAAAATGACATCAGAAGTAGCGTTGTACATCCCACTTGCCCTCACACTTCACCTTGTATCGATACCTCTTATAATGTAGTTGTAGCTTCGAATGCCACACATTGTTTAGTCATTCACCTAGTCAATCGGTGGGCATTCCTGGTCGATGCAATGAAACAATAGGCAGCTCACGGTGAGCCGCTGTTGATGGGGTTTGGCAGGGATTTGCAACTCACAAATTAGTATCAGGCTTTGACCGCTGGCTCTGACCCGCGCCACGGCTGGGAGTGCAGCTAAACAGATATTATAAGTTATATAAAGTTGTTGTTATGGATCAGTGGTAATGTGACATACAGTTATATAAAATAATTCGTAATAAGAAATAGTAAAATGTTAATGCAAAAAGTAAGCTTTTCTTATTTTTTTTGTAGTTTAGGCCGCACTGTAGAATGCATTTTTTGTTATTTGTCTGGAGCCGAATATAAGTTTCTTACATTTTGGAGGTTTTGACAATGTGATCTCGCGAGAATTTGTGAGTTGCAAATCCTTGTCGAACCCCACCAACAGCGACTCACCGAGAGCTGTCTTTCATTGCATCTACTGGGAATGCCTGCCGCTTGACTAGGTGAATGACTAAAACAATGTGTGGCGTTTGAAGCTACAACTACATTATAAGAAGAGGTATCGATACAAGGTGAAGTGTGGGGGCAAGTGGATGTACAACGATACTTCTGATGTCATTTTTATTGAGTTTCACGTAAGAAATCATAGGTCAACTAGGGCATGGAAATGCATATATCTCTGACCATAGTGAGTGGAGTAAATCTAGCTCATGAGTTGCAGCATATACATTTATTGTCCTCGAGGTGGCGCCAGTAGTCTGGCATGATTCTTCCTTATCATGACCGTCATCAGAACTTCAAAACTTCAGACATTGATATAACAAATAAATATATAGCTAGAGTATTCTATAAAAACGAGTTTATTAAAAAATGTCGAAAGCTATAGCTGTTTAATTCATTATATATTATAAAGCTGCAGTTGTTTGTTTCAGCACCAAATCAGGTGCAACAGTTTCTTGACCATCATGGAGGTCCAGGCATTCAGCACATTGGACTTCACACGAATGACATCATCGAAACAGTTTCCTGCATGGAAAATTTAGGAGTAGAATTTCTCAACCCTCCGTCTACCTACTACACAGAGGTGAGAGATACACGTGGATTTCTCAGTTGGTTTTGATAACGATGAAGAAGACATTCGAACTATCATTTTGTATTTTTGCAAACTTTTTATCTGTAGACTCTGCTAAATTAAACAACATTATCTCTGACAACATTATATGTGGTGCCAGCTACTAGTTTAATTGTCTGTGGATCTTTTCTGTAATATATGTAGATCTAGCTTTAGCAGTTATTCTGATTTAGAAGTCCAAACAGTGTTCATATTAGAAATCACTGTGAGCATATCATCTTAATGCATATTATATGTTGAAGCCATTTCATTAATTTGCTTCTGGAATTCTCAGTGATTGGTCACTTTCTCACCTATTCTAATGTATTTTGTGCCCTGTTACTGGTAGGGTTTGTAGATCATATATTGATTACGCACATGCTTGCATGTGACTTCTGTAAAGTGGTTTTTTTCTTAATATTGCACATAAAAAGCACATTGGCACTGTATTTCATGAGTCCATTGATTTGTCCTAGATTGGCAAGCTAGCAGAGATACTTTTTATGGGTAAAAATGTAGAGATTTTGCGAAAGCACGGAATTCTACTGGATATCGAAGCTGATGGTGGAGATAGACAACCCACAAATGATAAAAATGCTCGGTAAGCATTTTACATCGTGTAAACAGATAGGTTCTAAAATGAAACACATTTACTTTTGCATAGTCCTATACTTTTTATCGGCTTTGGCTCTGAGCCAGTGTAGACCTAGATGTTGTGTTAATAGCAGGAAAAACCGTGGCGGCACAAGGGCAGCGATTTAGTCTAAACACTGATTTGTTCTCTCAATTAAGACTTGGACTGCCTCCAGAATAGGCTAATAGGGGATTATTGGTTAAGGTTGGAGGTTATCGAAAACAAAAGGTTGCAAGTATATCTCTTTGCCGTACTTTGTGAGTAACATGACTTACTATCTTGCGTAGCGATTCCTGTAGTTGTTTCCTGTTAATAATAACTTGCACACAAAAATAGCACCATGAAGCCAACCATATATATATTAAAATTGGTACATAAGGGTCACTTACAAGCGATCTCAAAAAATGTCCTTTATAGACAGGTGTCCATTCTATAAAGGTGGATTCACCGTATAAGTGTAACTGAAGGGTATTGTCCAAAGTGTCCATCATAACGAGGTGTTTATAATATAGAGGTTTTCACTAACACGTGTTTGACTGTATTTGTTTTAGGTACTTGATGCAGGTGTTTACCAAGCCACTGTTCGATAGTGATACCTTCTTTCTTGAGGTCATTCAGAGATGTGGAGCTAGCGGATTTGGAGCCGGAAACATTACTGCCCTCTGGCGGTCTGTTCAGGCATTTCTACGTAAAAGTCAGGCATGATATTGCTGTTAAAGTAGGCTTTGCAATCTCAGTTGTTATGTAGAATCTAGGTGTTATAGTTAACTTTAGCTTATTTGTTAAGAGGGTTTTAACCCGGTGGTTGGCAAAAGTTATTTATGACATGCTAAAGCAATGGGAGGCATTGTGGCAGAAATAAAGTGTTGTATTTATCTACATATATAAAAATATAAAAATTCTATTGTTTCAATTGTAGTATTGACATGATGTTCAATTATCTTGTTTTGATGTTTCCACACTTCTAAATATGCACTAATTTTTCTCGATTACACAATTTTTTCACCTAGTTTCTGATTATTATATATTAACCATTCATACCACTTGCCTATACACATAGATGCAGATGTATTCCCCTGGAATTCTTCTATAGGTTGATAAATATCAGTGTGATACGATAATAGAACCCTGCACATAAATAGTATACGATTAAGTGGTATGTGGATCGACACATTGCAAATTCTCATAAAATTCTGGATATATGATTCAAACATTCCAACTGCTCAGCAAACAATAATAGAAGTTCAAGCAGATTACACTTTATACCATTATCCGTGACTGTTTTGATGACAATGTTAATTATATTTTATATGATCCTTGTGTTGTGCTCGTTTGCTAAATGTAAAATGGTTCTTCACCACACGTTTCCCATCTTTAGATCTTTTCTTACATGCATGTGTAGAAGTCATGTTACATTCCCTGAATGTGCCTTTTGTTTGGTTCCCCTTTGTTCACTTTCTCTTTGTAGTAAATGCACAATACTGCAAGTTGGTCTTCCTTGCTGGAAATGACCTAAATGATGTGTTGTTTTAGACAAGTTTGCTGTTGTTGGCCCAATTCTCAGCCAGAGCTTAACACTTCTCATGCAAGATCATTTTTGGGTAACATGACAAAGTAAGCGATGAGCTTTGCTAATTGTTCGTAAATCAATATTGTCGATAGTGTAACAGTATGCGGTTACGGTGCAACTTATAAAAAAATTCCCTCTATTCCATTCGTTCCTGTGGAAATGCGTGCTCGTCCGAGCGTGTTTGTATGTATAGTTACGTGCCGACGTTTGTGTGTGCGTGCGAACGTGTGTGCGTGTGAACGTGTGCTGTGTTGTTTTGTGTCTAGACATACTAATAATACTGCGCACCTACATCACTACGGGTAGCTAATTAATCATAGGTTGCTTTGCAACTTGCACGCATCTGCTAGACATGCTGTTCTGAGCGGGCGAACGGAAGATATACAACGTACGCCGATGAGTAAGTAACTGTTGCTCGCGTGTCTACCAACCTCCTCTCTCTCTCTCTATAGCTTTTCTCGCCTGCTTGCTGTTCCTTCCCAAAGCGCAGTCTCTGTTTCGCTCTTGCCCCCCTCTCTTTCTCCGTTTCTCTCGCATCTCCTTGATCTCTCATCTCTTCTCATCTCTACCTCTCACCCCTCGATTGCTATGAATTGATAACATACCACCATATTTATAATAATAATAAGATCATGTTATGTTAATTGTATCCCCCGCGATGAAGTCGGCGGGGATACTATGGTTTCATGTCTGTACAGCCGCCGCTCGGTCCGCCCCAGAGAATTTCCCTTCCGCTCTATAACTCGACCCCTAATTGACCTAGCGCTACCAAACTTGGTCTACTTACACATCTTGGGGAGAAGGTGGGCAGCGTACCAAAACCAGGTCACTGCGACCTTTATTTGACTTTTACCTTGACCTTGATCATATTTTCCTTCCGCTCTATAACTCGGCCCTTAATTGACCTAGCGCTACCAAACTTGATATACTTACACATCTTGGGGAGAAGGTGTGCAGCGTACCAAAACCAGGTCACTACGACCTTTATTTGACCTTTACCTTGACCTTGATCATATTTTCCTTCTGCTCTATAACTCTGCCCCTCATTGACCTAGCGCTACCAAACTTGGTATACTTACACATCTTGGGGAGAAGGTGTGTCAGGTACCAAAATCAGGTCACTGCGACCTTTATTTGACCTTGACCTTGACCTTGATCATATTTACCTTCCGCTCTATAACTCGGCCCCTAATTGACTTAGCGCTACCAAACTTGATATACTTACACATCTTGGGGAGAAGGTGCGCAGCGTACCAAAACCAGGTCACTACGACCTTTATTTGACCTTTACCTTGATCTTTATCATATTTTTCTTCCGCTCTATAACTCGGCCCCTAATTGACCTAGCGCTACCAAACTTGGTATACTTACACATCTTGGGGAGATTCTTCCGCTCTATAACTCGGCCCCTAATTGACCTAGCGCTACCAAACTTGGTATACTTACACATCTTGGGGAGAAGGTGTGTCACGTACCAAAACCAGGTCACTGCGACCTTTATTTGACCTTGACCTTGACCTTGATCATATTTACCTTCCGCTCTATAACTCGGCCCCTAATTGACCTAGCGCGACCAAACTTGGTATACTTACACATCTTGGGGAGAATGTGTGCCGCGTACCAAAACCAAGTCACTACGGCTTTTATTTGACCTTGACCTTGATCATATTTCCCTTCCGCTCTATAACTCGGCGCCTAATTGACCTAGTGCGACCAAACTTGGTATACTTACACATCTTGGGGAGAAGGTGTGTCGCGTACCGAAACCAGATCACTGCAACCTTTAATTGACCTTTACCTTGACCTTGATCATATTTCCCTTCTGCTCTATAACTCGGCCCCTAATTGACCTAGCGCGAGCAAACTTCGTATACTTACACATCTTGGGGAGGTGTGTCGCATACCAAAACCCTTAAGACAACCAATTTTAACATACTTGCACATCTCAGGCAGGTGAGTTGTGTAACAAACCTTTGTCTTTGTAATTTTAATATTTAACTTTACCTACCTTCTACGTCCTTACAGAGATATTTCATTCATACTAGATCACGGGGGATACATGTAGTTGGTGACAACTGCCCTTTCTAGTTAATTATTATTAGCTCATCTGACGTAGTCAGGTGCAGCTTGTAGAATCGCATGATCGTCCGTGCGATCGATCCGTCCGTCAACAGTTGGGCACAATGCTTACCCGCTCGACCGTGACGGTTCACGATCTTCGGCGGACGTGGAGGCGGTTTATCCAATAACGATGTTGCGATTGTCGAAGTGGGGGTCAAAGAGTGCAAAGGTCAAGAGGTGTAAAAAAGAAGGGGGAACATTCCCTCCTTAACTTTTTTAAGGTATAGGGAGGAAATGCAGATTGCGGCACAAAGCTAAACGGGCATGGACTAGGCTTGTGATAGTCGCGTGTTATAGATCATGGCGTAGGAAAAAGCCATCACTGTGCCGGAAATTGGAGAGGTGCGCAGGTCAAAGGTCAATGGCGGCACAGGGCAAGATTTTAGGAACATTTTCTGAGGACATGGTCTGACGGAGCGATTGACAAAACTGTTTTGTTTCAGCGGTGCGGACCTAGATTTGTTATGGCTGTTGTATTGAAAGCGACCATAACTGTACTTTCTGCTGACATGCCGAAGAGTAAGTGTCGGAATACCTGTTTAACCCTCAAGAGGAACGGGTTACATGGATTTGTTTTGACTGCTTAGAAATAAATTGTGACTGCGGGTTTTGTATGGTAGAATCTTACATTGCCTGGATGATATGAGCTGTACAATGTCCCAGTGAAATTTCAAAAGCAAATTTGGATTGCAGAAGGTTTATGCTCCTAAATCGTATAATTTTCTGTGGCATTCTGTACTGTCACGTGTGTGTCATGTAAACGTTATATGGCAGGCGAGGGGGGACATTAAATGGATATCATCTGCTGACGTCACCATATCTCGAATGAATGGTCTGATTTCATATATCTCTGATTGAGCTGATAGTCATTAAATAAACCAATCGGCATACAATTATTTTTTCTGCAGCCAATTCAATGCAGTGGAATTATTGACAAACATAAATGATTTAAGATAGACACTAAAATCGATTAGTGTCTGTCATTAAATTCCCCGTTGCCTACCAATCAGGAGCAACGTGTTACAAAGATCCGCTGGCGCGGGCCGCCAGCTACCTTCCGTACAAAATCCCCACACCGTACTGAGATCGCAGACACGATCTCACCGTGCATGAAGTGTGAAGCATGGATGGTGAGGTAGCTGGAGAAAGGAGAGGGAGAAAGCTGGTCGAGTAAGCAGGAAGGCGAGAAGCTAGGTGGAGAAATGAGGAAGGGAGAAGGAGAGAACGGTGGGTGGAGACAGGAGGAGGTGAAGAAGCTGGTGGAGAAGGAGGAGGGGGAGAAGCTGGTGTGAGAATGAGGAAGGGAGAAGGGAGAATGGTGGTGGAGAAGGCAGGAGGAGAGAGGGAGAAGGTCGGTGGAGGAAGGAGGAGCGGGAGAATGCTGGTGGAGAATGAATGAAGGGAGGACGAAGGGAGAGCTGGCTGGAGAAGGAGGAGCGAGAGAAGCTGCTGTTGAGAGAAGGAGGAAGGAGAGGGAGAGGTGATGAAAGGAGGAGGGGGAGGAAAGCTGTGGAAAGAGGAGAAGGGGAGGAAGGGAGAAGGTGTGTGAAGGAGGAGGGGAGAAGCTGGTGGAGAGGAGAAGGGAGACAAGGAGAAGCTCGGTGTGAGAAGGAGGAGGAGAAGCTTAGGTGGAGAAGGAGGAGGGGAGAAGCTGGTGGGAGAATGAGGAAGGGGAGAAGAGGAGGGGTAAAGGGTGTGTGGAGAAGGAGGCAGGGGAGAAGCTGGTGGAGAAGGGAGTGAAGCGGGAGAAGGAGAAGAATGGTGATGAGCAGGAGGGTAGAAGTGGTGTAGAGAAGGAGGAAGGGTGAGAAGGGAGAAGGTGGGTGGAAGGAGGAGGGCGAGAGGCTGGTGGCAGAAGGAGAAGTGTTGAGAAGGCAGAAGCTGCGTAGGGAAGGGGAGGGAGAAGCTGGTGGGAGAAGGAGAGGAGGGGGAAGCTGCGATGGGAATGAGGAAGGGGAGAAGGGAGAGCGTGGTGGGAGAGGAGGAGGCGGGAGAAGGAGTATGGTGGTTGGAGAAGGCAGGAGGGGGAGAAAGCTGGGGGAGAATGATGAAGCGGGAGAAGGGGAGAAGCTGGGTGGAAGAAGGAGGAGGCGGGAGAGCTGGTGGAAGAATGAGGAGGTGAGGAAGGGAGAAAGGGTGGCTGAAGGAGGAGGGGAGAAGCTGGCTGGAGAAGGAGGAAGGGG